AGAGAGAATCATCAATCAGCTGCCTCCTGCACCCCCCCCACAGAGATTGTGCCCACAACCAAAGTACATGTCCTTGACTGGAATCAAACCTGAGACCCTTCAGTCCACAGGCCAACGCTCTATCCACTGAGCCAAACCGGTTTCAGCTCCTTCCCTTCTTTCTTAATTTTAAAAGAATATTTTGGCACAGACCATCCTTTTTAATCCTTTAGTAAAGTTCTGTGTTTTGTTTTTTTTTTTTTTTTGTTAAAAATGGAATGTCCCAAATGCAACATTTTAAAAGTTAGGTTCCATAAAAGTAAAGGGTGAAGAGCATTTTTAGATGCATATTTGAATTGGCCACTATTTATCAAGTAAACCAACCTCTTGTTCTAGCTAGTTCAGTGTTTAGAGTGCCAGCCTGCGGACTGGTGGATCCCAGGTTCGATTTCTGTCAATGGCACATACCTTGGTTGTGTGCTGATCCCCGATGGAGGCAACCAATCTATATGTCTCTCTCTCACTGATGTTTCTCTTTCTCCCGCATCCTCCCATCCCCCTTCCACTCGCTCTAAAAATCATTGGGAAAAATATCCTCCAGTGAGGGTTAACAATAACGAAAAACAGCCTCTTCCATCACCTGGTAAATGAAAGCAAGAATCAATTTTTACTTAAGTAGATAGAGCATAATTCATGCCAGAGAGAGAACTTTAGAAGATTTTTCTGTAAGGAATACAGGTGCTGAGTTTATGCTACAGTACTTTCCAGCTGCGGTACACTTGTGGTTTTTTTTTTATTTTTTTAATTTTTTATTTTTTTATAGACTGCTTTGTATTTTTATGTCACAAGAATTAACATTAGTTATCTGAATTGACAGGTGCAAGAACATTTAACTGTTGATGTGTAGTTGAACTCTTGTGGATGAGGGAAGAAGCAGAAGCTTGCTTTTATCATGTATTTGTTAACTTTGATAGAACATACTGTTTCATTTGGCAGAAATTATTTTGCTGGGGATATCAGTATGGGGTTAAGAATTAAAAATCTAATAATTTATTCTTATCCCTGAAAGTGGTCCTTCCAAAATGAGTTTGGGAGGAATAAGATGGGATAAAGTTTGCTCTGTTTGCTGAGCAGACAAACACTGGAGACTAGGTAGAAAATGTAATGCTAGAGCTGTAGCTTTTAAGCCTGGACATCACTACAATGCAGGTCTTTCAGTGCCTTTATTCAGGTGACACAAGTTAGCTGTGATAACATCATTAAACCAAGGGGATTCAAACAGGTTAGAATTTCCTTGTGTTTTGCTCTGCACTGCATGCAAACCATTGTTCTTTGAGTAGTTACCTTATTAAATAGTTTCTCCCCTTATTATAAGGTCACAGTGTTGCAGATCAACATCCAAACAAATATTTGAAAAGTTACACTTAATGAAAAAAAAAAAGTGTGACTTAGATGAAACCGGTTTGGCTCAGTGGATAGAGCGTTGTCCTGTGGACTGAAAGGTCCCAGGTTCGATTCCAGTCAAGGGCATGTACATTGGTTGCGGGCACATCCCCAGTAGGGGGTGTGCAAGAAGCAGATGGTCAATGTTTCTCTCTCATCGGTATTTCTAGCTCTCTATCCCTCTCTCTTCCTTTCTGTGAAAAATCAATAAAATATATTAAAAAAAAAAAGTGTGACTCCATTAGGCAAAATTGAAGGAAAAATAAATAGGGAGTTGGTAGACCTGGGCTGTTGTCTTTGATCTGCCTGTTATTTTGACTTCTCTTGAGCCCAAATATCATTTATTTATTTATTTATTTATTTATTTATTTATTTTTAAGATCAGAGTAGTTGATTCCCTGTCTCTTCCAGCTTTAAACTTCCTTGACTGTACAAGGAATACTCTGCATGAAATTTGTAATCTAAGGTGCCTGTGTTTTGGAGTTACAGTTAGAATTATGAGTTGGGAAGAGTGTTGCCCTGGCTAGTTTTGCTCAGTGGTTACAGCATCAGTCTAAAGATTGAAGGGTTGCTGGTTGGAACCGATGCCTGTCTGGAGCATGTGTAGGAGGCAACCAATCATGTGTTGATCTCACTTTATTCTCCTTCCTTCTCTCCCTCTTCCCCCTTCCACTGTCTGAAAATCAATGGAAAAATATCTTTGGGAAAGGATTTAAAAAAAGGGGGGGAAGCCGAAACGGGTTTGGCTCAGTGGATAGAGCGTCTGTCTGCAGACTGAAAGGTCCCAGGTTTGATTCTGGTCAAGGGCATGTACCTTGGTTGCGGGCACATCCCTGGCAGGGGGTGCACAGGAGGCAGCTGGTCGATGTTTCTCTCTCATCGACGTTTCTAGCTCTCTTTCTCTTTCTCTCTGTGGAAAATCAATAAAAATATTTTTTAAAAAAAGGAGGTGGGGAAGGGAAGAGTGTTGTATGTTTTTGTTTTTCTTAGTTTGAGTAGAAGTTTTGTGTATTTACTGTAGTGGATAACTTTTGAGTTATTGATGTTCATAGAATGCCATTTTGAATTTATCTGTCATTCATATTTCAGGAATGTTTTAGTTTTGTGCGTGTCCATGGTGATAACATCACAAGTATGTAACTTACAAAATAAAATGCCTTTAGACTATCATAAAATGAAGACTGAAGATAGATGAATAGGCTTGAATTAATCTATATTTCAGTTTCTTCCTGAAAATGGTTCTAAGGTCATTATCTTTTATGTCTTTTTCTGCTTGATCACAATTATCTTTTTTAGGGATTTCTAAATAAGCATTTATTGGAGGCTTAAGAAAGAGGCAAGTGAAAGAACTTGACTTTGTCCTTATTTCCAGAGGAAGTTATGATTATGTTGACATTCTGACTGAACCAGCTATAAAGATTACTGTGTTTCATAGCAGTGGCCTAAAATAATATTAAAATTCTGCCATTTCTTTTTCTTGTCTTGTTTTTGGTAGAGATTAATACATATTTGGCCAGGAGAATGCTGTGTGAATTGAACTTTAAATGCATTTGTATTTTAGAGGTAGTGATGTGGGAAATAATAAAAAGGTAAACTGGACTAGAAAATGTGAGGATTGCCGAAACTGGTTTGGCTCAGTGGTAGAGCGTCGGTCTGTGGACTGAAAGGTCCCGGGTTCGATTCCGGTCAAGGGCATGTACCTTGGTTGCGGGCACATCCCCGGTGGGGGGTGTGCAAGAGGCAGCTGGTCGATGTTTCTCATCGACGTTTCTAGCTCTCTCTCTCTCTCTCTTCCTCTCTGTGAAAAATCAATAAAATATATAAAAAAAAAAAAGAAAAGAAAATGTGAGGATAGGATTTACACATGGGTTGAGTCAGCTGACATGGTACAGTGGAAAAAACACGTAACTAACAAAAGATTTGGTTTAGAATTTAGGATCAACTAATTCATTTACCTTAGACAAGTCACTTTTCTGATTCTCTTTCCTCATTCCTCATAGGTAGAAACATCTCAGAATTGTGAGGAAAAGAAGATAATTTTTTAAGGAAGTGCTTTATGGAATAGTATTCTAATTGGGGTCAATTTTAGATAGAAATAATTAAATCCTCAAAGTGGAGGATATTTACTCAAAGTGGAGTTTTGGTAAATATCCTCTATCCATTTGTAGATTTATCTTATTTCAAACAAAGAGTATATTTGGAAGACTTTACCATCAAAACAAAAAAAGGAGATCATTGTGAACTTTATGAAGCGTCCATGGAGGGAAGATTGCTTTAAGGATCTTTTAATAATTTAAAAATGACTTGTGGTCTTGGCTGGTGTGGCTCTGTTGAGTGTTGGCTGATGTGGCTCTGTTGAGTGTTGTCCCATGCACCAAAAGGTCACAGGTTCGATTCTTGGCCAGGACACATGCCTGGGTTATGGCTCAATCCCCAGTAACTGGCCAGTTAAAAATAATGTTTTTAAAGAAAATATTTCAATTGATTTTTATAGAGTAAGGGAGAGTGAGATAGAAAAATCAATTTGAGAGCGAAGCATTGATTGGCTGCCTCTTGCATGCTCCCTATTGGGGACCAGGGAATGAGCCTACAACCTGGGCATGTGCCCTGACGGAAATCAAACCTGTGACCTTTCAGCACACAGGGTGATGCCCAAGCAACTGAGCTACACTGGCCAGGGCTAAAAGTAATCTTGTTAGCCCAGAAACTTTGCTGCTGGGATCGTGTTTTGAAAAAAGAAAGACATGCTTGACTTGAATCTCAAGCTTTTAAAACTCGTATATACTTTTATTCTGTTTTTTATAGATGGCAATAATTTAGAATTGGTGACATTTCAGATGTCTTCAGGCTCATAAAGAATGTGTTGTTGACTTTGAGCATTGTGTTTATGAATGTTATCAACCTCCAGTTCATTTTACTTATGCTTTTCTCTTTTAGGTTTTTCGTTGGAATATACGTTGCACATTTATGGCGATTCTGAGTGTGAGGGCAGACTTCTGCCAGGCTCAGCACAGCGTTTTTGCTGACAAGTGAGCTTGGGGGGTTCTATGTGCCATAATTAACATTGCCTTGAAGACTCTGGACACCGAGACTGGCCTCAGAAATAGTTGGCTTTTTTTTTTTTATTTTTTATTGCAAGCATATTTCTTTTAATGACTCCAGTAAAATTAAGCATCAAATAAACAAAAGTGGAAAATAATCTACACTTTTAACTTGTCTCACTCGTGCCTAAATGTAGTAAAGGCTGCTTAGGTTTTGTATGTAGTTGGATGTTTTTGAAGTCCGAAGGTATCCATCTGCAGACATTGAGGCCCAAGTTGAATTTGATTCAAGTGGATTCTGAATACTTCTGCTTGTCTTGAAGAGAGAAGCTACTTAAAGAATAAACACGTTGAATAAAGAAAACACTGATTGATAATAGGCATTTTAGTGGTTTTTTTTTAATGTTTTCTGCTGTGAAACATTTCAGGATTTATTGATTTTTTTTTCTTTAATTTTTCCCATCACACTCACACACGCACGCTCCCACTTTTTTTTTTTTTTTTTTTTTTTTTTTTTTTTTTTTTTTTTTTGCCATAATGAACCGTCCAGCCCCTGTGGAGATCTCCTATGAGAACATGCGTTTTCTGATAACTCACAACCCTACCAATGCTACCCTCAACAAGTTCACAGAGGTAAGATTGTAGTTTGGTGTACTTTTGGATTGATATATTGGTAAAATCCCATTAAAATTAACACCATTATAAATAAATCTCTTATTACAAAGCCATTTATTTCTGTGATTGGGATTTGATGGTCATCCTACCAGCCTTTTTTTTTTTTTTAAATGAGTTAGATTAATTATAACAGATTTTTAAAAGAATATTTATGGAATTTGAGGAGATCTTATATATTTTCTATATTATTAGCAGTTTTCTGATCATACTTTCAATAATAAAAATAATTAACATTTATTGGACACTTTGTACCCTGCATTACAGTAAGCAATTTCTTACAGTATGTCATTTACTCTTCACAATAACCCTGTAAGGTATAGGTACTATTATTATCTCTCTCTTACAGATGAGGAAACTGAAATTCAGAGCAATTTAGTAATTTGCCTGAAGGCACACAGTACATAGTAGAACTGTCTCTGACACTAAAAACTATGTCTACCTCAAATATCCTACTTCAAATATTCTAACCATTTTTGTTGAAAAGCTACCCCAGAACTACTTGCAATAGTAGCCATCATATACAATACAAGGATTCAGAAACTTAGGGGAAGGAAAGGTATTATAGGTTGCATTTTTGTCAGATCCTTCATTTTTTCTATTATTAGTGGAGAAAGTATGTACTTTACTCAATAAACATGAGTATAAGCTTTTTAATCATTCCCTGGTTGTTCAGTCTCAATGTGATTTCTATTGATGTATTTTATGGAATAGACTTAGCTGGATGAACTCTTAGGGATTCTAAATCCACTTGTCTCATTTTTCAGATGGCAAAACTGAGTTCAAAAATGTTTTGACTTGCTTAAGGCCACAAATATTTACCATGAAAAATTATACCATATCCTTCCAATGAATGGCTACTATGAAGTCCATTTCATTGGGATTTTATTTGTATCTTGAAACTTCTTAAAACTACTGATTTAGTTATAATACTTAACAACTTTCCTGAACATACTTTATAAGAAGGCTTTTTGTGAAAAAGAAAGTCCTTTAGCAATTAAAATAACTTTACTCTTTAGATAACCAAATAGGATATCATTGTTCCTGCTTATTTATACTTAATAGGTCCTAAGCTCCTTAACTTTGTGTGCACAGTGTGCAAGTTGATTCTAGGCTTGTGCCCTCAGATTGATCAGTCACCTTTAAGCCTGGCTTCAATTATGTGATACTATTTTCAGCCTGTGGATTCCTTGGGCATAGATTCCAAAAGTGGCAGAAGTCACTGTCCTCCTGCAACTATAAAAAGATATTGGTGGTCTCTTGAAGATAGGTAGTCTCTGTATTAGGCATTATTGTAGGAAAGTTTTTAAAGGAGCAAGACTTCTGGCTATAATTGCTATTATTTTGTATGTTAGTTGGCTTTGTAATATACCACTTTTTCATCTTAATTTCAAAATGACTTTTGTTTCCTTAAATTAAAAAAAAAAGAACAGTAAGTACCAATAAAAGTAAGAAGGTACAGATAAGCAAAAGTTTAAAAACTTAATTGTTGCCCTAGCTGATTTGGCTTAGTGGATAGAGCGTCAGCCCATGGACTGAAGGGTCCTAGATTCAATTCCGGTCCAGGGCACATGCCTGGGTTGCAAGCTCTTTCCCCAATAGATCAGGAGGCAGCTGATCAATGATTCTCTCCCATCATGAATCTTTCTATCTCTCCCTCTCCCTTTCTCTCTGAAATTAATTAAAAAAATAAAATAAACACTGTTTCTTTAAAAAAAGAAACCTGTTAATACTTACTTGGCTCCTGAGTGTTTGTTTCTGTGATCCTACATATAGATAGGATCATACTATATATTTAAAATAAATCTTCCTCCAACCTCCTTAGTATTATTTTCATAACTGTCATAGTATTCTGTATTGCTGGTCCATACTTTCTTTAACCATTCCCCTGTTCAGACCATTAATTTTGTTTCCAGGTTCTTACCATTCCAAACTGCGGTGAACATGCTTGGCACCTAAATGTGTAGATCTTTAATTATTTTGTTAGTAAAAATTCCCAGAAGTAGGATTTCTGGGTCAAAGTATATGTGTTCTTTTAAAGTTTTTGTGTTATGCTACTAATTGCCCTTTATAAATGTGGGTTTTACTGATATTTCTACTGAGAGTGCAAGCGTGTCCATTATATATGTTGTCACAATGAGAATTATTTTGGTTTTTATTGAAGAATGATGTCTCATTGTTTCAATTCAAAAGAGCAAATTTTTAAAGCTTTGGTTGCAGATTCTAAAAGCAAGTTACCTTATATTTGTTTTTCTTTAAAGGAACTTAAGAAATATGGAGTGACAACTTTGGTTCGAGTTTGTGATGCTACATATGATAAAGCACCAGTTGAAAAAGAAGGAATCCATGTTCTAGTGAGTGTGTAGTGTTTTAATTTTTCATTACAAACAAGTTGCACCTTTCAGACATAGATATTTATAAAACTTGGAACTCAGTTTTGCTTTTTGACTTTATACTAGGAGAATACAGTGTTCATAGCAACCTTTCAATTCTTTCGTATTAGCAATTTTGCTCATTTGTGCTCTAAAAGTTTACTCTTATATGATATTTTCAATAAGTAAAATTTAGTGAATACTTATTTTAAGAATAAGGAAGTTTTCATTTTGTTTTTCCTAGGAAATTAGTGCAATAGTTGGCTTTTGTTTCCAGGCTACCAGTTTGACTCTAACAAAGTTTCCCCCCATCAGACATTCTTAAGTCACATGGAAATATCCTCTTACTTTGCAAGTACAAATTAGTTACTTAATATTTTGTAGTTAACTTGTAGGGGACAAAAAGGTAGGAGAAGAGGATAAGAAGGGAGAAGGAGAAGGCAGCTTGCTCCACAGTTTTCAGCCTAGTTTCTGATATATTTTTTTTAGGTTTCTAAGCTTTTATTTAGATTAGGTTTCTTTAATAGTTTAGTTTGAACAAAAAGTGATTAGAATTACTTTAAATTGAAATACTCCCTAGTCTCTATATATGCTATTATACAAAGCAGGAGCTTCACATTAGGTAAAATTTTATACCTTTTTTCCCTAACTAGTTATTTAAATTGCCGGAGCATGTAATGAAATGACCTTGTAGTCTTAGGTGTTTTAGAGCTATTTGATTTGATTGTGGGAAAGTAGTGAAGTAGGATGAGAACTGGAGATTTTTTTAGTAGTTGATGAGGAAGAAAATAATAAGATATTGGTATCAGGTTATATTCCTACTTTTTATTGAGAGCTAGTTTTGTAGTCTTTATTGCACTGGTTAGTAGTTGGGAAGGTTGTTGATGCAAAGAAAATACATGTCCTGTTGATAAGGCAGTCATCTCTTGTCCATAAAGTTTCCTCACCTTCATTTAGGTGAAAATAGAAGAACTAAATAGCCAAAACATTATGCTTTTTAAATAATACTATGTATTCAGATGTATTTGAGTAGTATGGCATGGCAGTAATTTGTTTACATTCTCATTCCTAAATGACTTTAAGTTCTCCTGGCTGGAAATCACTGGGGATAAGTATAAACATGTGTAAAATGTAGCGTTGGTTTAAGAAAACACACACACACACACACACACACACACACACACACACACACACACACACACACACGTCAGTCAGAGAAAGACAAGTATCACATGATCGCACTCATATCTGGAATCTAAGTAACAAAATAAACTGATGACCAGAGTGGATCTAGAGACATGGAAGCATGGAATGGAGTGCGGAATCTCAGAGGGAAAGCATGGGATGGTGGGTGGGTGGGAGGTAATCAGCCAAAGGCTTTGTATGTATAACCCTTGGACACAGACAATAGGGTGATGAAGGCCTGGGGGTGGGGGTTGGGGGCTGGAGGAGGTTAATGGGGGGAGAAAGGGGACATGTATAATACTTTCAACAAAAAAGAATTTATATATATATATATATATATATATATATATATATATATATACACACACACACACACACACACACACACACACACACACACAGAAATACAAAAAATTTAACATCTGCTGTAGCCCTGTGTTTAAACAAAACAAAACTTTACTTCTGAAGCTAGGCTGAATTACAGGTTTTTTCCCCCCTGTAAGTATAGTGGACCCCCTTACCTGAGGTTTTATTTTCTACAGTTTCAGTTACTTTGTGGGATCAACTGTGGTCTTAAATAATTAAATGGAAAATTCCAGAAATAAATAATTGATACATTTTAAATTGTGTGCTATTTGGAGCAATATGATGAAGTCTTGCTACCTTGCTACCACCCAAAGTGCAAACATAGTGATACTGGCAATTCAGATATGCCAAAGAAAAGCTGGAAAATGCTTCCTTTAACTGAAAAGGTAAAAGTTCTCCACTTAATAAGGAAAGAAAAAAGTAGGATGAAATTGCTATGATCACAATAAGAATGAGTCGTCTTTGTGAAAATGTGAAGAAGGAAAAATAAATTGATGCTAGTTTTGCTATGCACCTCAGACTGCAAAAGTTATAGCCAGTGTATGTTACGATGGAAACAGCATTAAGTTTATGGGTAGAAGACATGAACAGAAAACATCCCAATTGACAGCAAATGTTGCACCAGAAGCCTTAAGCCTATATGAACATAATGGATGCTCAACAAGTAAAGAGATGGTTACACAGATTCAGGAATAGGCTTGGACTGAAAATATAAAAATTATTGCAGAGAGAGAGAGATACCACATTTGCATAACCTTTATTACAGTATAATGTTAGAATTGTTCTATTTTATTGTTAATAATTTACTGTGCCTAATTTATAATTAAAATTTAACAGGTTTGTACATATAGGAGAAAACATAGTATATATAGGGTCTGTACTATCTTCGGTTTCAGGCACCCACTGGGAGTCTACTTTATGTTCTCCATTGGTTAGATGAGAAATTAGTTTGTTTTGACAGATGCCAGGGTAAGAAAATGAATTGTGGATTGACTGTAGTCTGTTTGACTCAGTAATATTGATAAATATCTTTATGAAATAGAAATGAAGTAAAGAACTTGAACTAATTTGTAGAAAATGCTGGTAGGTCTGGAACTTATTCCAGGCCTTTAAATCTAGGCTTTTGTTTTAAATAGCTATGATTAGATAAATTAAAGGGCTAACAACTTAAGCCTGAAAAAACAAGGACAGTTAAAATTAATCTTGGAATTCCTTTACTGCTTGTCTGAATAAGTGAAGCATGCTTTGTGTTATTGTTTCTTAACTAGGTGCATTTTAGGGAGTATTATTAGAGGAAGTAAACTCAACTAAAGTACTTACTGGTTTTAAAGCTATTTACAGTTAAACTATAGTGACATTTATAATGATAACACTGACAGCCCTTTAATTATGGGGTGTAGTTGACAAATCAAACATAATGTACTGTCATGGCTAATGGACTACATGAAGTGTTTTAGTGGTGCCAATAATGAGTGCAGAATCAATTTAATGCTCTGTCACTTTTCTCTTTTTCCTTCTCTAGTATCTTAAAGTGTCCTTATCCAATTTCATTAGAATAGTCTTATGTTTAAAAATACATTCCTAGTGTTTTTACATTTCTGTCCTTGAAGCTAGTTGTAAAAGAGGTTATGAAAAATGTGAGTCCTCTTTCTTCAAAGCTGATTTGTGTTGGTTTCTTAAGACCTCTTGCAAGGTAGCAAGGAAGATAAACACCTGGCTGCTTTTTAAATAAGACCAACCCATGCATATCTATCTATACTTTATAATATCTATACTTATAATAGGGTAATATGTAAATTGGTTGGGACCCTGTCACGTAATGACAGGTAAGCAGGAGGGCAGTGCAATGAGCTACAAGTGGCAGAGAACTACAGGAGGGTGGGGCAGCGAGCTACCTGCAGTGAAGAGCTATGAGCAGCTGTTGGCAGGGCAGTCAGCTGAGGCAAGCGGCAGTGAGCTACTTATGCATAGATTCATGGGCAGGGTCACATATATATAAAAGGCTAACATGCAAAGTGTCCCCTCAGGAGTTCCACTGGGAGACTGGGAGTTCGATCACTTGCTATGATGTGTGCTGACCACCAGGGAGCGGTGTGGAGTGAAGGAAGGCCTAGCTGGCAGCCGGAAGGCCCCAATCGGCCCTGATCGGCAGCCAGGCCTAGGAACCCTATCCTTGCACGGATTTCATGCCTCTAGTGATGAATATAAAAAGAGAAAGGGCCGAAACTGGTTTGGCTCAATGGATAGAGTGTCGGCCTGCAGACTGAAAGGTCCCGGGTTCGATTCCGGTCAAGGGCACGTACCTTGGTTGCGGGCGCATCCCCAGTGGGGGGTGTGCAAGAGGCAGCTGGTCGATGTTTCTCTCTCATCGACGTTTCTAACTCTCCCTCTCAATTCCTCTCTGTGTAAAATCAATAAAATATATATTTAAAATAAATAAATAATAAAAAGAGAAAGGGATATTTGAAAGAAAGGTTTCTCTTTGCTTAGGGATCCTATTATGTGGCACTGTGCTTGTTCAATGAGATACATATTATTTAGGCAGAGCTTTAAAAATATTTGCTACATGGCTTTTAAATATGTATAGTTAAGCACAAAAATGAAAGCATACTTCTGTTATGGTATGCTAACTATTGGAGCTTTCTTATCAAAGATCCTTTCTCTAAAGAAAAGATTTTATATCTTAGAACTGTTTGGATATTTGTAGAGACCAGTTATTGGTATATTTCTTTGCCAGAGTGGACTTTTTTTTTTTTTTTTTTTTTTTTTAATATATTTTATTGATTTTTGTACAGAAAGGAAGGGAGAGACATAGAGAGTTAGAAACATCGATGAGAGAGAGTCATCGATCAGCTGCCTTTTGCACACCCCCTACTGGGGATGTGCCCGCAACCAATGTACATGCCCTTGACCGGAATCGAACCTGGGACCTTTCAGTCCCCAAGCCGACGCTCTATCCATTGAGCCAAACCGGCCTCAGCAACCAGAGTGGACTTTTAAGTCATATCGACAGGTGTATCTTTTCTTACTTGTCTTCACTTATAGTTTTCTCTTGTTTGTTTACAGATTGATTCAGACAAAATATTTAAGGAATACTAATTTCTTATCATTATCATAAGAGATTTCCATAAGATAAAATTAGAAGCTGATTACACTTCATTGAAGAAGGTTAAGTTATTTGGCACACTTGAATTTCTATCTTGGGTCATTTTACAGCATTGACCAGAATCCTGTTATTAAGACTAGGTATATATAATATAGTTAGTTCAAGTAGGCCCAGCCTGTGTATTGTTCAGCTGTTCAGTATTAGGATGTTAATCCTGGAGAAAATACCAATTTAATGTACAAGATTTTTTCTTTCCAGGATTGGCCATTTGATGATGGTGCGCCACCCCCTAATCAGATAGTGGATGATTGGCTAAACCTATTAAAAACCAAATTTCGTGAAGAACCAGGTTGCTGTGTTGCAGTGCATTGTGTTGCAGGATTGGGAAGGTAATGTCTTACCCTTTCGTCTGTGAATTCATTATAAAATATTTTACTTGGGTAGAAATTTTCATTTATTACACTAAATATTTTATTGCCTGAAAGGAAAGGAAATGAGAACAAAAGCTGCTTTTGTGTTTCATTGGTTGTCTGATTCTGATGCCATACTAGATTTAGTGGGTATGGTTCAGTTCTGAAAATGACTTAATGTAATTGTCTAATCTTTGAGCTAAAAATATACTCTTAATTCAGTTTTCTTGCTGTAGCAAGTAACCGAGGTTCAGGTCTTTGAAATGTGCAATAACATTAAAAAAATATGTACATGTGTAATTTGGGATTGAGATCTGTGGGAAGTTAGAAGGTGGAGAGCAGGTGGCTGAACTTTAAACTCCTGAAAGGAGATGTGGAGTTTAATGGAGAATGAAAGTGATTTTGATTTTTTTTAAAAACCTTTTTCCTTGAGCATTGCATGGAATGGTGTTGCAACACTCTCATCAACAGAAGGTTAAAGGCCAATTTATGATGTGTACTTTGACTCAGAACATTAGTGCAGGCAGTGGTGACTCAGGTTCTAACCTCTGCTTAGCCCTTTTGTTTGTTGTTTTCCTTTTTTTTTATAGCTTAGTAAAGGTTCTAAGTTTCAGTTCTTATCTTGCAGAGCAAAGGTAGTATTATTAATTTGACTTGGGTTAATTTAGGTAGTCTAAAGTCAGTGCCCTGTAATGGACTTTAAAAAAAACACAACTTAATTTCCTTTGTTACATTAAAAAATACATACTTATATTGAGACATCCTAATTATCAATTTTCTGACCCTCTCTCCTAGCTCATGAAAAGGATTTTGTTGGAAGTGTAGCATTATTTTAGTAATTGATAAGGAAATGATGTTAAAATTGATTTGTAACAAAAATCAAAGACAGTTTTGGTAACATAATCTGGATTTAAAAAAAAGAAAAAAAAAAAAAAAAAGAAAGAATCTAGCCGAAACCGGTTTGGCATAGAGCTTCGATCTGTGGATCGAAAGGTCCCAGGTTCGATTCTGGTCAAGGGCTTGTACATTGGTTGCAGGCACATCTCCAGTAAGGGGTGTGCAGGAGGCAGCTGATTGATGTCTCTCTCATCGATGTTTCTAGATCTATCTATCCCTTCTCTGTAAAAAAATCAATAAAATATATATTTAAATAAAATAAAATAAAAATAAATTAATTATAAAGATGTGTGGGTGTTTACAATTGAGTTTCTTTCTGCAGGGCACCTGTGCTGGTTGCACTTGCTTTGATTGAATGTGGAATGAAGTATGAAGATGCAGTTCAGTTTATAAGGCAGTGAGTATGAAATTTTATATTCAGAAATATATAAAGCAAGATTATACAAGAGGAAGGAATTATGGAAAATATCATTTCTAGTCTGGAATAACTTGCTGTCTTTGGCTTTAAAATGTTGTTTGTTTGAAGATTGATTATCACAAAAAGCAAGTGATAAAGAGACTCGTAAAACTACTGGCTCCCAGATTTAAAGGATATCTAATTTAGGCAGCAAATATGGACATTGTAGAATATGTCCAGTATATGATTTGAATATCTAGGCATCTTTAAAATGAATAGCTAGGTAGAAGAGTGATCTTGTGTCTCTCTTAATAGATGTCCAAAATATCTTTAAAATGCAATTTCTATGACCAAAAGGCAAACCAGAATCTGTAGAGGAGCAGTTACTCACCTGGCACTCATAAGTGACCTGTTCAGGCATAAAATCAAGATGGTAGTGCCAAGACAGAATCTTGGCCTCAGTCTGGAGTGATAGGCTATGATATTTTGCTATCCAGAATTTTTTGGCATTTATTTTCTTAGTCTGTCCTCTTTTCTTTAAAAAAGAGGAGAAAGAAAAAAAAAAGAAAGAACGTAAAAGGATTGTTAATGATGGCATGAAATGAATGGTAGCAGCTCTAGGAAGGTAACATATTTCAAGAAATACCATCTGTGCCTTCTGCTTCATGTAAATTCATGCATCCTAAATACTTGCTACCAATTCTAATCTGAAGATTATATTAAGCTAATTGGTAAAGAGTATATAGTTAGGTATCTCTGGATAAATCATTCTGATGTTTATTAAATGGTTAAGAGTAGTAAGAGTCAGCAAAGAAGATTTGTCTATTCCTTTTACTCAGAAGGCACAGAAAGTTCTTATTTAAACTTAAGAAGTGATGTTGTATGGGAAATGTTGATTTTCGGCTTTGTGGTGTTAGAATGGCCTTAGGCCATAAATAATGCATTTCTGTGACTGAGGCAGCTCTTTTTTTGTACATGATAAAGTTTGCCATTCTTGTATTTTCAGAAAAAGAAGGGGAGCATTCAATTCCAAACAGCTGCTTTACCTGGAGAAATACCGACCTAAGATGCGATTACGCTTCAGAGATACCAATGGGCATTGCTGTGTTCAGTAGAAAGAAATATAAACGAAGGCTGACTTGATTGTGGCATTTAGAGGGAACTCTTGGTACCTGGAAATGTGAATCTGGAATCTTGATTGTGTCATCAAAGTGGTGATGGATTCAGTACTCCTCAACCACTCTCCTAATGATTGGAATACAAAAACAAAACAAAAACAAAAACAGAAATCCCTCTATAACATGAATAAAATGTTTAAGAAAAGCAAAAGATAAAGAAAAAAGGGATTACTTCAGTGGAGAATGGTTTTGCTCTTAGAGTTGAAGTTTGAATTTCTGCCAGGATTGAATTATTTCAAAATCTGTCTTTTTAAACTTTTTCAAAATAGGTCTCTAAGGAAAACCAGCAGAACATTAGCCTGTGCAGAATCTTCTCTTTGGGGAGCACACTCTTCCATTATGCTTGGCACATAGATTTATCTCCCTGTTGTGGAATTTCTTTCTTTTCTCTTTTTTTCTTTCTTTCTTTCTTTCTTTTTTGTTTTTTGTTTTTTTTTGTTTTGTTTTGTTTTGTTTTGTTTTGTTATTTTGGGTTAAGTGGTGGGGGCTACAATTTTTCTCTCTTCTCTCCTTTTCCCTATCCCTCTTTTCCCGATACTAGTTGTAGATGGAATAAGAGAAGCCCTTGTTGCTGTATATGTGCGTGCAGTCTGGCAGCCTTAAGCCCACCTGGGCACTTTTAGAAAAAAAAACACCAAAAAACATAAAAAAAAAAAAAAAAAAAAAAAAGGCAGTGGCATATATACTATATGATCCAGGTGATTTTTAGTTTTTACTGATGATGGGTGTTCATGTTAGTTTCTTTCCTTGAAAATTCTATACAACATTAGGCAAAACAGCCAAGAGCCTTTGGTTTGAGTTTTTGTTTTGGTAAGTTAGTGGGGACATGGCATTTTAAGAGGAGTCTCTTTTTTTCATAGAACTTAGCTGAGAGTCAAATTCTTCTCTTTCCAACCAATGAAGCTAAGTGGGTATTCCAGAAATGTTTGTTTTCTGAAGGGGAGTACTCCAGTTCATCACTAAAGGTGTGTCCAGATAGAGTTAGCACACTTTCTACACCTTGTAGAACTGTGGGCTGTATGTAGCATTACTCTGCTTTTCTGTCTAATGATGTCAGAGAATGCTGGTAGTTAAAAATGTTTATTTTAGGACTTATTTGTTCTCTGAATTTTCAGGAACAGGTAGTGGGATAGCAAAGACACAATATTTTGGACTTGAGAAAATGCTTGTTATGGGTATTTTCCAAACTGCCCCCTATATGTACAGTTCAGTTTAACCACTGATTGCCTTGTTATTTTCTTACTAGGTTCTTTATGAGATAAAACCAATAATGCCTAGTGAGTATGTGTCTATAGGCCTAACAGGGTAGGAGAGAGATGTAAAGCAGCCCAACCAGTAGCAAAAGGACTGTGTTGCTAGTGAAATTGGTGTAGTGTCATTTTTATCCATTTGTGGGGTTCAGTGTGCTGATCTAGAAATGTGCTCTTTTGTGCAAGGCAGTTGTGACCAGGCTGTATTGACAAAGCAAGTTAAAGGACACCATCAGAGCCTTTTGCACTCTTCATTTAAATATTACACACTTCCTAATGCTCTGCTTCTAAGAATTTGAATAAAGGTTTAGGGTCATCTTGTCCTGCTGGAATTTGCTATACAGAGCCAAAAACTTCCCATTTTGTTAGGATCAGCTGTGCCAGTAGGAATGGACCGGGATTTTGTCGCTGGTGATACCTCAGATGTTGGCTGGCGCTGTGAACTGCCTATCTCCTATTCTGGAGTTGTTTGAGCTCTTTAAATGAAAATCTGTAGATGTTCTCTTCCCCATCCCACAAAACAAAAACATTATTTTAATGCTTTTTGGAATTGTTTCTAGAATTTTAAAGTGGAAAATGATGGTCCTATCCAAAATTCTTTATTTCAGAACATGACAATAGATTCCTTTAATATAGGCTCAAGATCAAAACAGAATATTCTCTAAGCTCAAATAGACTGTTGACTCCAAGGGTTTTGATCAATATCATACCAAACCTTTTTCCTTTGACATGCTCTGATTTTTGTTGTTTTGGGGGGAAGGGGAGACAGGGAGAAACAGAAAAACAGGTGTGTGTGTGTGTGTGTGTGTGTGTGTGTGTGTGTGTGTGTGTGTGTGTGTAGTGTATCAGTGCCTGCCTGAGTTAGGAAAATTACATTCCTGGTTTTGTATGAGGAGAAGAGTGTGTAAAACAACATGAAACATTAGCCCTCATTTTGTTTTAAATTGCAGACTAATGTTAATTGTTCTCAGAACTGGATTTTCTTCCTCAAAAATTAATTTTATCTTTTGGACTTAATGAAGTATTGCTAGCTGAAGCCAGTTTGACATGGTGAGAGAGATGTCAGACTGATGAAAGGTGTGCAGCCTGATTTAAAACCAAACCCTGAACCCTTTTAAAGAACAATAAACATATTTTACATGCTCTTTGTGCGTTTGTTCTCACTCCAGGTTGAGTTTTATTTGCTTCCCTAGAAAACTTGGTATTCTTAAGGTCTGCTTTAGGTCCTGCTAATTTCTGCAGAGAGGTGAAATAGAGGTTGGGAAGTTCAAAGATTTTATGCCACCCAAGTTTCAGTAAGGGCATACATCTACATTTTCTGGTTCAGTTTTTGGGCACAACACTGGAGGAATTCAGCATCTTGTCTCATTCCAAAGGACTTTCTTTATACCATAGGTTTTGATGAAGCATTGCAGTTTGCACTCTTAAAAAACTGAGGGAGGAGAAAACCTATATGTCATAGGATTTGAGGTGGGCAATTTCCCTTAAACCATTGATAAGCATTTCACCCATCCATTTAGGTAACAAACTACATGTTCAAGTACCAAGAATGAAAATAAAAGACACTGATGCCACTTTGAAATACCCATCTACAAGAGGAGTTAGCTATGTAGACATAAACAGAGTGAGTGATGACAGTACTGTGTGACATAATTCATTGACCCATTCATTTGTTCTTAATTTTCCAGTTCATGTGCATTATCCAGCATAGATTCAGTGTCCCGTGGTTAGGTACAGTCACTTGGCTACACAGATTGCTCCATCTCGTTTCATTATATGGACTTGCCTGGCTCAACTCCCTTTTTGGTTAAGTTTAGCATGCCACTTATGCACTTGTGCAACTGAACTTGCTGGCTAAAGTCATGACCTCTGTTTATTTTTTATTTTTATTTTATTGATTTCAGAGGAAGGGGGGAAAGGGAGAGAGAGAAACATCAATGATGAGAATCATTAATTGGTTGCCTTCTGCATACCCCCTACTGGGGATTGAGCCCACAAACCAGGAATATGCCCTTGACTGGAATTGAACCTGGGACACTCAAGTCCACAGGCTGATGCTCTATCCACTTAGCCAAACAAGCCAGGTCATGACCTCTGTGTTTAAAGTAGACCTTTGCACCATCTGCTAACCCTACTACATTTCTGTCTTATATTTTCATGCTTCTTGAAAGCTTACACTTTCCCACTTTGTCTCAGCTTTTGACATTTTTAAAAAACAAAATAGAAACAAGAAAATGTCCACAGGCTCCTACTATCACTAGTATGGATCCTCACCCATTTATATCTACTTGCATGCTCTGCCTTTCCTCCAGTTGTAGGGCAAGCTCTTCAACTTTTAGATTCCAACCCCCTCTTACTCATGGGCCCAGGTTTAGCCATTCTGTTCATTTCCCTCTACTAGGTCAGTCTATAAACATGCTATTTATTCCATGTTTGACCCACACCCATTCTTTCAGATACCATCCCCTTTCTCTTGTCTTTATAGTTATCCACTCAGTTATCCACTCTGCTTTTCTCTTTAAAAAAATTTTTTTTAATTGATTTTTTTACAGAGAGGAAGGGAGAGAGTTAGAAATGTCAATGAGAGAGAAGCACCGAGCAGCTGCCTCCCGCACACCCCCCACCAGGGATGCGCCCACAACCAACGCACATGTCCCTGACCGGAATCGAACCCCGGACCCCTCAGTCTGCAGACCGACGCTCTACCACTGAGCCAAACCAGTTGCGGCCTGCTTTTCTCTTTTGAACCCACTTTGAATGAGGATATTGACTCCACAGAAACTGCCTATATAAAGGTCTCCATGACCTCCATGGTACTTAATTCAATGGTCAGTTCTCAATCCTTAGGTCTTTTTTTTTTTAATTAAAAAAATTTTTAAACATATCAGCATATGACAATTGATCACTCATTTGTTCATTTACTGTGTAAGCGGTATAATGCTCTCCCCCCCCCCCCCCCCCCCCGGTGTTTAAATTTTTAATCCCGGGGATCTTACATGGTAAAAGGGACTTTGTGGCCATCACTATGTTGAGACCCTTGAGATGGGGAGATTATCTGGGTGTCTGAGTGGGCCTGAGGTAATTGCATGTGGCCTTAAAAGCAGAGAATTGTGCCAGGTTGAGGTCAGGAGGTGTGACTAGGGAAGAATGGTGAGTGGTGCAGTGCTGCTGACTGGAAGATAGAGGAAGGTGCCTCTAGAACCTGGAAAAATGAAGGAAATGGTCTTCCCTAGAGCCTCCAGAAAGGAAGTCAGCCTGCCAATACCTTGATTTTAATCCCACTTGGGACTTCTACACAACTGTGGGATAGTCTGTTTTAAGCAGTAACCAAAAAGGTAGGTTAATTTATTACAGCAGCAACAGGAAACTAACAGATTTTTGCATGTTCTGTCACCCTGCTATGCTTTAGTTTCCTTCATACACCATCATTTCAGACTTAAATTTCTTTAAATTGAATTCATTAGGTTGACATTGGTTAATAAAGTTATATAAGTCTTGTGTGTACAATTATAACACATTGTGTTTATTGTGTTTAAACCCTCCCCCCCTCCACATTAAATCTCCTTTCATCACCACTAGATTGAGGCTCAACCACTGAGCCATGCCAGCTGGGGTTCAACTTTGATGTATCCTGGAGAGAAATGAAAATGTTAGTGGTTTCCTGGGGTGGAGATGGGAATAGAGAAT